TCAGTTCAGTTTCAATGATTTTTAATAATATTGATACTATTCTATAATCTATAATAAAACCACAAACATTCCAAATTCCTAAGAGGTTTGCCATGGTTACACATTATACTTTTTGATCGGTATGTTGAAAACGCTCCGGTTCGACGAAATGACGGCAACGCGTGACATTTGTCACACAATGCGTTCTTGCCACATCTACCCGTCGTCGCTACAAACTATTGGTGGTGGTTCAAATGTACCGGTAGTGAAAATGTTCGACACCAACAAATTTATTACCTGCATTTAGGAGAAGCCAGTAATTGGAGATAATAGTGGAAAAGAATATGGTGACAAAACTGCACGAGAAAAAGCTAGGATGGACAGTCGCGGAAAATTTTTATAAAAATTGGGTAGATATCGATACCTGAAACCGAAGCACCATCAGGCAACAAGATTGTTGAGGAGGGAGAACAACAAACATCAACTAGTTCTGTTAGTGCATTACCACAGCCAGCACGGCCTGCATCTCGTCAACGACAGGATAGATTTACACCATTCCAGAGTGCACCGACCGAGACATCGAAGACCCTGAATATATTATTACTCCCATCAGATTAAAAAATAAAAAATAAAATAATCATGAAAAACTGATCTTAAATTTGTGGCACTATCACAACTCAACCATCAACTCAATCGTCGATGTGTATGGATTTTTTGCAATTGGAAAAAAGATTGAGAATTTTCCATATCAATTAAAGCCATCATCTTTTCCAATTTTGTAACGAAGTATTTTGTCTATCACATAGGGTATTACTATGGAGGTTGAAATCTTGGGACAGAAACTATTGGGGGAAGAGATAGGGCTAGCAAAATTAAAGATACTTATGCGAAGGGCACTCAGGGACTGAAAATGCGTCAGATTAGGGCGACTACAAAAATGAAAAAAAAGAAGATACTTACATAAATTTTCTGAACAAATAGGCGAAAAAAAATAACAAGAAAGGTCGCTAGATATTTAAAATAAAGACGCCGCTTTAAAGGATCCTAGTCTTGCTGGATGAAGCAAAAAGGCTCTTCCTTCCTAAAAAAGAAGTTACTTTTCTAAAATAGGTAAACAAAACTGATTTAGGGAAATAAATTAATAAATTAAACATTTATTGTTGTCTCAACACAAACAGTTACAAAATCTGCCAATACACACTTACAATATTAATAATAGCAAAGGTTTGTATCAAAATATTAAAGAATAAAAACTTACAAATGTCCTATTCGTTTATAAACTAAAACTAAACAACTAAACAAAACAACCTACGTTTCGCAGATGACACAGCCCTTCTTGTAAATAGTCAAGCAGAGCTGATGGAACTTATACGACTAATCGAAAACGAAAGTCAAATATTTGGTCTGCAATTAAACATATCAAAGACAAAGATCATGATAGTGGATAGACTACACAACAATCATCCACACATAACCACAATTGACCGGTTCGAGGTTGTGAGCTCATACTTATATCTGGGATCATTAATCACAAACACAGGGTCATTACAAGAAGAGATTAAACGTAGATGTGATCTAGCAAAAGTTGCCACAGAAAAAATGACCAAAATATGGAAGGAATGTCAAATTTCAAGAGCGATAAAGATGAGGTTGATCAACTGCTTAATATTCCCAATACTGACCTACGGATGTGAATCTTGGACTCTGAGACAATCGGAGAGAAGAAAGATAGATGCCACTGAAATGTTCTGTTGGAGACGAATGTTACGAATTCCTTGGACCGACCGTAGAACAAATAATTCAATTTTAAGAGAGCTAAAAGTTAGCCAACGACTCTCTAGTAAAGTCCATCTCCAACAATTAAAATATTTTGGGCATGTTATGAGAGCAAACACAGAAAACATGGAAAGACTCATAATACAAGGAAAGGTAGAAGGCCGAAGATCACGAGGAAGATCCCCAACAAGATGGATAGATCAAATTACAGGAATATGCCAAAGACCTATGCATGAATTAAAAGAAATGACCAGAGATAGAGATCTCTGGAAACGAACAATACACGACATCACGTCGACCACTACACTCCCCTTGGGAGGTCAGGATTGAAGAGAGAGAGAGTCCTATTCGTTTACAAACTCTGTTTATAAGTGGGATATGCTACAAAACTTACAATAGATTGTTACTGGGCTATCAGTTACTGGGCTATAAATTTTCTATTAAACTATTAATATTTTAAATTCTATGAAAGCAATTATTATTTTAATGTTTATTTGCCTTTAAAAGCTTAAAACAAAAAAGAGTTACCTTGGTTTCGCCAAATACATTCTAGAATTTCTGGGGTTACCTTCTCTGCCACACGATCAAATCCATTTCCATAATGTGAGAGATACTCTAAGACGGCTTCTTAGGACAAATAATACAAACTTGAGGTTGAAAGTCTGGAACACAAATTTTGGACTGGGCTTCTTAAAAAAACAGGAATATTTAAAACTAAACACACCCTAGAAACGGCTTCTTACAAAACTGGAACCATCTTGAAAACCGTCATGAAAGTAATTATTATTTTATTGTTTATTTTCCTTTAAAAGCTTAAAACAAAAAGAGTTACCTTGGTTTCACTAAACACACTCTAGAATTTCTGGGGTTACTTTCTCTGCCACACGATCAAATCCATTTCCATAATGTGAGATATACTCTGAGACGGCTTCTTAGGACAAATAATACAAACTTTAGGTTGAAAGTCTGGAACACAAACTTTGGACCGGCCTTCTTAAAAAAAAACAGAAAAATGTAAAACTAAATACACCCTAGAAACGGCTACTTACAAAACTGGAACCATCTTATTTACTTTTCAAATCTCTTGTACAGACACAAATCTCTTAGATACTTAGACAAATAAATAGTGATTAATCTTCCAAATTTGACATATTAACAGAGAGTAAAATTCCACTATTTTTAACAAATTATGCCGGCTTCTGGTGACTTATAACGAAGACCGTTCACTTTGGTTCCCCCTTTCAAGCTAAACTTTAATTCAATCGATTCTTTAAACTGGCTTAGCAGTTTTGCTTTTTACCTCTCTACAACTCTCGTCATAAAAAACCCAAAATTCTATTTTTGTTTCTCAAAAAACTATTTTTTGCTGGAATCCCTTTAGGATGTGCCCAATATCGATAATCACGATATGCGCCAGTAGCAAACCCTGTGCTAAATTTTTTATTTAACAAAATCTGAAAATTAAAAATTTCTCATTTTTTTGGTCCTATTTTCGTTTATAATTCGGAAAATATTGATCCTAGAGAAAAAATTATAAGAAGTTTAAAAGTTTGGTTATTTATTTTACACAATATTTCGTTAGCTAGAAATTAAAAATTTATTGTTTATTATTGAAAAAAAATAGCAATAATTGGAAAAAAAAGTACAAAAAATGAAGTTAATCCTTTAAATGTTTTCGACTTTCTAAACTTGACTTACAAGCTCCATATTCCGCCTAGAAAAACTTTTTAAAAACTTTTTAATATGTTTAAAACGTGTACTAAATTTTGTTAAGATCGGTTGGATAGGTTTTGCATAATAATTTTGCAATCCGGCCTACTGGAAAAAAATCGTATATTTTCAAATTTATAGTACGCCCTAAATAAGGTCCTCAGATAGTTGCAAATTTTTTTACACATAAACGAAGGCTCAAACTATCAAACGCGTTTTGTAAAATTAAAATCGGTTCACTAGGAGAGCCTAGAAAATGTTTTAAAGTTTTAAACATTTTTTAGCCCTTTTACGGGCTTTAAACATAGAATAACTTTAGAAAGATACTTTCGGCTTACTGGTTGCCGAGATATTGAAGTTGACATACATTTGCCGTGTAACCATAAGTGATAGAGGGCTCGTTTTTAAACAAATACCCTCGTCTTATCAAGTATTTTTTATATGAAAAGTTTTACGTAATGCGCTTTATGGCAACATCCATAAAAATGACAAATAAAAAACCATTTTTGCGTAAAATGTCGCTTGGGATGCATGAGAGGTGGTGGTGGGTCATGTTCACTCGAAATGAGAATCGGCGAGTTCAAAATCATAGCGCGCGCTAAAAATTGCATTATCTCGACTTTTTGTTAACCAATTTTGCTCATTTCTTTTAAATCGATGTCTCGGACGACAAGGATTTCAAATAGCATATGTAAAAAAATTTGCAACTATCTGAGGGCCTTATTTAGGGCCTACTATAAATTCGAAAATTTGCGATTTTTCCAGTAGGCTGGATTTCAAAATTATTATGCAAAACCTATCCGACCGATCTTAACAAAATTTAGACACGTTTTAAACATATTAAAAAGTTTTTCTAGGCGGAATATGGAGCTTGTAAGTCAAGTTTAGAAAGTCGAAAACATTTAAAGGATTAACTTCATTTTTTTGTACTTTTTTTCCAATTATTCCTATTTTTTTCAACAATAAACAATAAATTTTTAATTTCTAGCTAACGAAATATTGTGTAAAATTAAATAACGAAACTTTTAACTTCTTATAATTTTTTCTCTAGGATCAATATTTTCCGAATTATAAACGAAAATAGGAGCAAAAAAATGACAAATATTCAATTGTTTTCAGATTTTGTTAAATAAATAATTTAGCACAGGGTTTGCGACTAGCGCATATCGTGATTATCGATATTGGGCACATCATGAAGGAATTCCAGCAAGAAATAGCTTCCTATGGAAGATGTCCAATCCAAAACAGATCCTGCCTAGACTACTACTTTAATATTGTAATTTTTGCTAGTTTGTGGACTAAGATTTCTTGAATTTCGTAAAATTTAAACAAAATATTTTACAGATAAAATTCTTCATCAATAATAATATGATAAATAAAGTGCAGTATTTTTATACTTTATTCCTTATTATTCGGTAATATCCGCATTTACGATTGAATTTATGGTAACTAGTTATTTGTCTATATTTTTTATTGTTCCATCTGTCTCTGTTCTCTTTACTGTTTATAATAATAAACACCATAAGTATTAAACAATGGTAAAAGTAAAACACTAGTAAGTATATATAATCCTATATTTCGTACAAGAACAGCAAAATCATAAATAATAGCGATTGTGATGAAACAGATTTTTTTGCGTTAATTAACTGCCACTTTTATTAGACAAGAACATCAACTTAACTGATTTATAAAGTAAATCGGTGAGAACTTATAAGAATATCAAACGTTTATGGGTTTATTTTTTTAATGTGTTTTTTTATTTATGTAACATATCAAGGTCAAAAATATATATCTAAAAAATACTATTAGATAAACAATATATCAAGCTATTCTATGTTATCTATATGTTAAAACGTTCTACTGTAATTACTTACTAATCAAATAAGTAATCAATTGATCTAAATCTGAAAAGTTTCCGACTACAGATAATTTTTAAGATTACTTAGTTTATTAAATATCTACAAAATGTACCAACATATACCTTATATTCTATCAATTCTGTTACATCCTGTTCCACTTTGGTATAAAAATATACAAGACGAACTGACCGCAATAGAAAGAAACACAATAAACAGATATTTAAGAACTAATTACCGCCTTAACAAATATTCTATTCCAAACTTGTGAAAAAATAGCTCTAAAACACAAAGCTCAGAAAAATTACATTTCTAATACAACCTGAATGTTAATGAGAGAAAGAAGAAAACTTGAAAAGATAGGTGGGCAAAAGACGAAGTGTAGAAATGAGACAAAAATTGAAACCATAATAGAAAGAAAAAGAAACATATACTACGCTTTACAGAAATAAATAATATAAAGAAAAATAATGGAGAAATGATCTGTAGCAGGAATGAGATTTTCATGGCCACGCAAGCATATTATCCAAGACAGAAAAACCACCTGAAGAACTAAATAGGTTATTGAACTCTAAAATTAAGAATGTAACCCTCGCGCTCCAGCCAGTAATTAGTAAAGCAGATATAAGAAAAGCACTTAAGCAAATTAAAAACAACAAATCGCCAGATATAGGATAGTCACTACAGAAATGTTAAAGAATGGTGGAAACGCCGTTATCAACACATTCACCACCTGATAAATACAATATTACGAGAATAACAGATCACAAAGACTGAAACAAAGTAATAATTATACAAAAAAGCCACAAACGCTTTTTACAAAATGTTCATCTAATAACATTACTCAATACGACTAAGCTTCACCAAATGCTCTGATAACAGGTTAACAACAAAGTTAGATAATATCAGACACGAGAACAGGTAGGATTCAGAAAGAGATTTTACTCTAGTGACCACTTGTTAAAATTCTAATCAAAACAGCAAATTAATATAACTTCCCGATATATGCAGCTTCTGTTGACTTTGATAATTCTTTTGAGGGTGTGGAACACTGGTCAAGAAAATGCTATCTAACTAGTAGTAGGATAGATTGCAGACATACTAAATTTATTACAGTATAAAACATATACGAGAAAGCAAAAACACGAATTAAGATGCATGAATTACCCAATAGCACTGAACAAAGGAAAAATGCAAGGTGACACAATATCACCAAGGTTGTTTAACTAAGCCCTAGAGGATGTGTTCAAGATACTAAGTTGGCAATACAAACCAATAGGAATAAATGCAGACTATCTTCTTAACCATCTAACATACGCCAATGATGTCTTCCTGACAGGAAGCGATGAAAAGAATTTAAGTAGTATGATTTTGGAACTAGATATATAAAATCTTCAATATTATCTATTTTATAAATATGCTCATATGGTTTTCATTATATTATGTAAAATCTAGCAGTGTGCGCCGTTATACCGTTCTGCTGAAACCACGTGCTCTACAGTCCCAAAAATCTAATTGAGAAAAAAAATCGGTAATTTTGGGTCTGTTAACAGCATACCACGCAGTAACTTTAAGCGAACGAAATGGCCATTCGTGGTAGACATATGGATTTTTGATGCCCCAAAGACCACAATGTTGTTTATTAACGTAACCGCTAAGATCAAATAAGCCTTGATAATTTTCGATGAAAAATCGTCCTCGATAAAAAAGTAAAAAAAATTAACAGAGTGCTGAGAATAGTGACAGTGATAAATGGTGTGATTTGGAAGAAGATGTAGATGATGAAGATTTTGTAGTGAGAAATAATACATTAGTTGGTATTTAACCACATGCGGTATAGAAACAAATAGACGTTTTTAATCATTTCGTAACTGATGAAATATTGGATACTATTGTTAATGAAATCAACATTTATCTATTCAACAATTAAGTATGCGATACTCAAGTTAATTATGAACAGCCTCAAACAAAATTGAAATAAGAGCCTTCCTAGGGATGATAATTGCAATGGATCTCACTAAGGTACCACATTTATATTTATATTGGTCTAAAGATGATATATTTTATAATAAATTTATTGCAAAAGTTTTAAGTCGAGACCGCTTTTCGCTTTTATTGAAACTTTTTAATTTTAAAAATAATGAAACATTTGATACCACTAATAGATTATGCAAAAAATATTAGTTACGAATTTGATTCAATATTTTCAAAAAATAATGGAGCTTGGCCACCTTCTCTTTATAGATGAATCTTTGGTACCTTTTAGAGAGAGACTCCATTTTCGTCAGTACATCCCCAACAAGACTCATAAATATGGAGTGAAACTATACCAACACTGTTGTCCTGACGGCTATACTTTTAATGAGGGTATTTACACAGGAAAAAATAAACAACAACCAGTTAATGAACAACTATGAAGCAGTTGTTGTTAAACTACTTCAGTCAATCACAGATAAAGCTGGCCAAATATTATTTGCTGATAGCTTGTATTCAGGAATACCTCTCGTTAAAAAATTGCTAGCAGATAATATGTACGGTGGAAATCTAAGAGGAAACAGAAAAGAAATATCACCTATTTTTAACCAGTCCATAAAGATGAAACCAACAGAGGTCATTGAGGTCATTGAAAAAAATGGATTAAGAATTACTAAGTGGATGGATAAGAGACCTATGTTAATGATTTCAAGTGTCCCAGCCCATACTAAACAGTTAATTCCAACAGAAAAGCAGAACAGGCAAAAGAAGAGGATATTGTGAAACGGAAGTTTATAATTGAATAAACTCTGCAAAGAAAGACGTAGACCATTCTCACCAGATGCCATCTTACCATACAATGCTACGTCGAAGTTTGAAATGATACCGGTAAGAAAAAAGTTAATATTTCTTTATCAATCAATGAAATTACCAATCAATTTAAAAATGCGTTTGTTCTGTTTATTTTAATATAAAGTATTTTGTTTTTGTAAACAGACCAGGAGATTGGTTATTTTATAGTAAAAAGACAAATGTTTAATAACAGTACTTAATACATTAAAATAATTATTAATACCAAAATTATATACTATTAAGACTTCTTTGTCGTTGTCATTATCAAGTGGTTCGCAATAAACGTCGTATTCTTTAGGGACGTTTGGAACGTTTTCGTAATGTAGGACGTTTTTGAAATAAGCCAGTTTTTTGCCATTCTTCGCCGTAGTGACTTTCCAGTAGCTTAATAGCCGACTCCTATTTCATTTGGATTGATTTAGTGGCCGATCTACTTTTATTTAAAATACTTCTAAATGAACCGATGCTTGAGTAGCTTTTGTCTCCTCTAACCAATACGACGTTATTTTGTTTTTCTGATCTTGCGAAATAAATCCTTTTTATTTTCGATATCTGAAAGTCAGTGCTTTGAATGTAGACAATGTTTCGGTTTTCCAATCGTAGAAGTTGAAATCCATATTGGGGAGCTGCAAAGTTGTACTTTCAGATATTATTTAAAAATAGTCCTCAGATGTCGGAATAAGAAGTTTTTTCTCGATCGTCCCAAACACCCTGTCCGATGGCAAGAATGAATGCCCTCGAACGGGATATACTATTTCAATATCTTCTTCTTCTTCAGCCTGTGTTCGTCCACTACTGGACATAGGCCTCTTCCATTTGCTTCCATCGATTTCTACTTTTGGCAATTCTCATCCACTGCTTGCCCGCGACTTGTTTGATATCGTCTGTCCACCTCTTCTGCGGTCTGCCTACTCCTCGCCTGTTCTCTCTTGGTCTCCAGTTTGTTAATCTTTGTGTCCATTTTTCGGGATTATCTCGGGCAACGTGTCCAACCCATTGCCACTTGAGCCTTGCAATACGTTCTGAGACATCAGTAATTTTTGTTCTTTCACGAATGACGTTATTTCGAATCCTGTCTCTCAAACTAATCCCTAGCATGGCCCTCTCCATTGCTCTTTGGGTTGTACTGAGCTGCTCTAAGGTTTTCTTTGTGAAGGCCATGGTCTCCAGTCCATATGTAGTTACAGGCAAGATACATTTGTCATAAACTCCACGTTTTAGACACATTGGTATATCTTTATTCTTCAAAATAAAGCTTAATTTGCCGAAAGCTCCCCAAGACAGTTGTATGCGTCTTTTTATTTCGGCTATTTGATTTTCTTTGCCGATTTTAATGGTATGTCCAAGATATATATAGTGGTCTACATTTTCAAGACTGACGTTGTCAATAACAAGATTAGTTTGTAGATTACTCATTATTTTTGTTTTCTGAAGGTTCATTTTGAGACCTATTTTATTTGACTGCTGGTTTAATTCCTTCAACATTTGCTCCAGTTCCTTGATATCTGTACTAAATAATACTATGTCATCCGCAAACCTCAAATGACTCAAACGTACACCATCAATGTTTAGACCTTTTTCCTCCCAGTCAAGCTGTTTGAATACATTTTCCAATGCTAAGGTAAAAAGCTTTGGTGAAATAGTATCACCTTGTCTAATACCTTTATCAAGGCGCATTTTTTCAGTTTTTTTCGTCTTCATTGATTTTGATGTGGAATGTGGCCTGTTCATAAATGTTTTTAATGAGTGTAGTGTACCGTGAGTCTATTCGAGCATCCTTCAGGGCTGACAAAAAGGACCAAGTCTCAATACTATCGAAAGCCTTGTGAAAGTCGATAAATGCCATATGTAAAGGTACATTATATTCTGTGGTTTTTTCTACTAGTGTTCTGATGGTTTGTAAGTGATCATTAGCGCCAAACCCTTTTCTAAATCCCGCCTGTTCAACCGGTTGATATAAATCAAGTTTTTGTGTTATGCGGTTGGTTATTATTCTTGTTAACAATTTGTATAAGTGTGATAACAAACTTATAGGTCTGTAGTTTTCAATATTAGTAGTGTCTCCTTTCTTGTGTAAAAGTATTATTTCGGCGTTTTCCCATAGGCTGGGTATTCTTTTTTCTGTTAGACACTTATTCAGTAAGACTTCCACAACTTCTACAACGATGTTGCCGCCCATTTTTAACATTTCAGACGTTATACGATCCTCGCCGGGAGCTTTTTTGTTTTTCATTTGCTGTAAGGCATGTCTAATTTCCGAAGAGGTTATTTTAGGGAGGGTTTTCGAGCCGACGTTTAGAATTGTTCTGTGGTCTGTTTCGGGGTTCTGTATAGTAGATGTATAAAGATTCTTATAGAACGTTTGTATTTCCTTGATTATTTGAGTTTTTTCGGTCACCGTATTCCCCTGTTGATTTTTGATTTTAGTTATATTTGATTTTCCTTTAGTTAAATTTGATTTCAATACTCTCATGTTTCTATTGTTTTCGATGGTTTGCAATATTTGTTTTGTTTTATAAGCCCGCATGTCTGACCTTATGCTCTTTTTAACTTTATTGTTGATAGCTTTATACTCTGGTAATTCTTTCGATGTTCTTCTTCTTTCTTCCATTAAATTAAGTGTTGTTTGTTTCAGTTTCGTTTTTCTGGGATTTTTATTTTTATCAAAGATCTTTTTTGCAGTTGATGTTATGTCGTTCGTTAATTTTTGTGTTATTTCATTTATATCTTTCGTGTTGAATACTGGTAGAGGTCCTAGTTTCTTTTTTAGTTCACTTTGATATTCCTCTTGATTCATTTCGAGTACTTCTATGTTTGGCAATTTATCCTGTGTTAATAATTTTCTTCTATCTAATTTCGTATTTATTTCTATTCGCGTCCTAACTAATCGATGATCACTACCAGTGTTGAAAGAATTTAGTACAGTAAGATCTTTAGCAATGTTTTTGAAGTTAGAGAGTATAAAGTCAATTTCATTTTTTACTTTGCCGTCTGGGCTTAACCACGTCCATTTTCTCTGCATCTTTTTCTTGTAGAAGGTATTTAAGCAGAATAGTTTTTCTTTGCTGAGGAAATTTACGAGCATATCTCCCCTGTGATTTCTACTTCCCAGTCCAAAATTTCCAATATATTCGTTGTCGTTGTTATTTTCGTTCTTTCCTATTTTAGCGTTGAAATCTCCCGTAATTATTACGTAATATGTTTTCTCTAGGTTTCTGGCTCTTGTAATGTCTTCATAAAGTTGTTCTACCTCTTCATCATCTGCAAAAGAAGTTGGTGCATAACAGTGGATTATTTGAATGCTGTATCTACGATTTAGTTTTATTACCATATAGATAACTCTATTAGAAATTGCTTGGAATTTGGTTACCATGTTTTCAATTCTCTTATGTACTAAAAAGCCCACGCCTCCTATACCTTGGTTATTTCCTGAATTGTATTGGTACAAAGTGTGCCCTGATTTTAGTAGAGTCGATTCTTCGCCTTTAAGCCTTGTCTCGCATAGGCCTACTATGTCCCATTTGATGGTCTTAAGTTCTTCTTGCAACTCTTCTAGGTTATCTTCTGTCCTCATCGTTCTGATATTATATGTTCCGATGTGCATTCTGTGTGTACTCATTTCATTGTGTACTATTTCAATATATTTATGTTTTTTGGAGCTTGTATCAGCCAGCGACTTGCCATAGATAAAATTATTTGGTTCCTATTTTGGCCTCCGCACACATCCGTCACACATTAATCTTATGACACTGATATCTTTTAAATGAGTATTAGACAGCCTGTGAACATTGCCGAAGCCACTTAATTAGAGTCCTTGCCACACTAATCCTCTGACCATACATAGCTAAAACAATGTTCCTTCGTTAATGGGGCTTTAGAATGTCCAACTACGATTATAAAAGTATGTATATATAGCTGTCTACTGTAGTACGCTGCTTGATCCGGGACTTTAGACAGCGGAAGGTTTATTTGCAAGCCGAAGTATTAAGCCAATAATTCAGACTTATATTTCTTCAATAATGCATAAAAGTCATCACCGATGGTGTCGCTTCCTTTGAGATTTCTTCAGTAAGTGAAACACATGTCCGTCTGTGGCGCCTTAAATGAAATGTTGAATTTTCTATTAAAAATCATTCGAAAATATCGTGTGCTCACTTCAACCCCACGAATTTATAATATATATTATATATATTTTTAATAAATTCAGCCACGCTCATCAGTTTCTCTTTATATAAATGCGTTCGTTTGTCTTCTCCCCTTTTCTCAGATGAAAGATTACTTCTCCTCTAAAATTGTTCATTATAGTTCGGAGTCGGCCCCTTGTACTTCTCAAGGCATTCGTGAAAGTCTTTTGGTAACTGGGTAACTTGCCATCTGACCTTTTATGAAACACTTGCATGTAGTCGTCTTATTACGATTGTCTCCAATTTTTGGGCGACGTCTGCTAACAGGGTTTAACTCTAAGAATTGCAGTATAAAGGTGTCTTATTTAACTTTCTCTTCATTTTTATGAAAAGCTTTATAAAATGCCATTACATCCGCAATATTGAGTTTTGTGCACTGATGGGCTCTCCCTTCGTGCTTGCACGTTGGCATTTTAGGCGCCTTTGTTTCCCCGTACCTACAAATATCTATTTATATGCAAATCATTTTTTGAATATAAAACACAGTGAAAATTATACATGTTCCATGTTTTTTAATAGAACTGCCTGCACTAACGATAGATGACATTTTTTCTTCTATATAGATCTAAAAATATATTAACCTCAGCCGTTTTCTCACATTTCTCGCTCATTTCTCTGGCTGTGCGACTCTTTTTCTACACTTTGTAGGCGTTAATGCTTTTGTTGTTGCCTCTATTTATTACTAAATTGCAAAAACTTTAGAGAATAATGTTCCTTTTCTCAGCTTTGACACTAGTATGACCGCCATCTTAAAAATCACCGACCACGTGATAAAATCTAGTGCTCTGATTGGTGCAGAGGGATATTAATTGTTTTGAAACCTACACGATCTTGGAGAATGGTAGTTGTGAAACAACAACCAATTTTCTCCATTTAATTTCAATGAGAGTTTGGTAGATATGTTATGAAATTTATGCATAGCTGGATGCGTCTTTTTACAAGGAATCCAATGGCGTATTTAGGTCCGATTGTCCAAAAAGTGGAGATTGGTTGTTTTGCAAGTGGAGGTCTTCTATCAGTATCCGCAGTTACGTTGTCATATTTGGCAAGTATGCCGTTCCGATATCCATTGAGGCCTTCAGCCATTCTTGCATACCTTATTGGCACGTGCAGTTGGAGCAAATTTGACTGTAAATTTGTTATTCCTAAATTGCAAAATTTGGATAAAATTTTAATAATAATAATAGTAATTATAGTTTAAAATAGTAAAAGTAGTTTTCAAAATATCTATTATTATTAAATAAATTTTGAAATTTCAATGATTGTTGTTTTAATATAATATTGTTTTTCAATATATTACAAATAAACAATTTTTGTGCGAGATTATATTTTGTTGTATTATGTAAATATTCTAAAATAATACGTTTATGCAGTATAGTATCAGCCTTATCAAACATTTTGTATTTAAGAACAAAACCAACACTTAAGACTTTTACGTCATAATATATAGAGGACTTTTACTTATATTGTACTTTATGAACATTTTTTCTCTGTTACGTCATCTTTATATCCATTTTTTTAAAGTGTGGTTTGAATATACGTTTTTTGAGTAAAGATTGACTGTACCTTACGATAAGATAAATAGTGATATATTCTTTTAATTTTTTTTCAGTACAGGAATGTTGGAAGAAGTAACTAAAAACACTGCTAGGAATATTACAAATGGCATTTTACTACAAGTTTGTGATTTGCAAAAAGTGGAAAAGTGTGACAAATCTAAAGAAAAAGAAAAAGACGTTTCACCTGATAAAATGACAAAAAAGGGTAAGTAATCTGGAATGTATTTTTTTTATTAAAGCTCTGCCAATAGTACTCTGATTTTAGCGTTATCGTTTTGGTATTTTAACTTTAAAAATATCGTCATAACAATATTATCTAAAAGTGAATAACAACCAAGTTAAAAATATTTACTATACATTTTATTTACTGGGTAATATCGATTGTAAGTTAAGATAGGCAGTGATTTCTAGATAAGTAATTCAATTAGATGACTAAACTTTTTTAATCAAAATAGTGATAGTTTCATTGTCACGGAATACTGAATGTAATAAATATATTTTGTAATTATTTTTAAAGATTTTATTGGTAACATATTGAATTAAGATAATCTTAATAGATCTGTAGCTGATAGGTACATTTTGAAATCTCGTACATTTTAATTAAAAAAATTTTAAATAATATTTTATTTTTCAGTCTTATATTTCGCCACAAATTAAGTTTTGATTTAAAACGTCTTGGAAGTTCAAAGAAGTTTTAGTCCTTTTGCTTTATTGCTGAATATTTTATTGACCCTGTAAAAATAAGCGTTGTAACAGCTTTTGAGATATTCTTCAGAAATTATAAAAAAGATATAAATTTCTTTGATTTACCTTTTTATATGCATGTGACATTTTTTTAGTAAACGTATGTAAATATGTATAGCGTTAACAGGCCCTTTAGGCCCATTGCTGGACGACCCTTCAATCTTCCATGTTACAGCTTACTTCCCTGTAGGATCTTCCATCACTACATCTCTCAATTTTTTTCTTGGTCTTCCTCTTTTTTTGTTGCGCTTTGGTACTCTTTAACCAATATTTTTGTTAAGACCTTTTTTCACTACTTTTGATATTGAAGGGTTAGTATACACTCAGTACGCTTCTACATTAATTTGTCTTCTCCATTCTCCCTCTACTACTTTTCTACCTAACATTCTGCGAAGTATCTTTCTTTCTCATGCTTCCAATCTGTTCTGTATTGTTTTGTTCAAAGTCCATCTCTCGGCAGCGACAGCATGCATATAGCATTGGAGGTCTAATTATAGTTTTTAATACTTTTATTTTTGTATTACGAGATATATTTTTGGCCTTATTTATTTTGTTTACGGCCCAAGTAGATATATTGCTCTTGGTTAGTCTCAAGTTGATTTAACTTTGATCCAGCTGATCCATCCTCCATATCCAATTTAAAGAAGCCTCCGGTGTTTATTCCTTTTTTGTTCGAGATTTCCATGTCCTTGCATTTATTAATATCAACTTTCAGTCCCATTTTACAGCTTTCTCGAATGTCTTCTTGCTGGACTTGCCAGTTCTTTTTCATTTCCTGCAATGAAAACCACATAATCAGCAGCGTACGCTAAGCATTGCGATTATTTAAAGAATTTTGTTTTTTTTTGTTTTTCTTTTAAATAAGTTTTATATGGTTAAACACTCTCCCGATTTCTTTCATAGAGGTGGTGTAAAAAAAATCAAGATATTTCTTTTCTTGAATTTGCTTGTTTTTTTTTTAATTTCAAAACTCCTAAGCGATTACATAAGACAAACGCGCAATATTAAAGAATAACCTACTTTGAACCAGCTTCTTTTTTACGCTTATCTTGTGGTGCTGTAGTAGTTACACAACCTTCGCCTGCTTAAGAAATCTCTTCATTTTTCTTTGCTTGTTTGCTCGCTGCCGCTATCATCTATTCTTAATCTTTTAGATTCTTATGAACGCTGTCCATCCATCTGGGACGGGATCTTTCTTAACTGCTTCTTCCTGCTGTGCCACTCAGAAACACCTTCTTAATAGATATTTCCTCCTCCGTTCTCTGAGAATTTTCCATGTCTTGACTTTCAATTTCCAAGACATTTCCATGTCTTGCTTTCATGCATCACAAACAAAGAAACAAAGGATGTTCTATTAAGAATCTGTATTTGTTTATTTTTTAAGAAAATTCTATAAATATATGCAAAGAATTCCTTAAGCTTTCGATACATTTTAGAAATCATCAGCTCACATCATCAGGATAAGGTCTTACATCTCACCCAGCCTTATTCGTTTGCAGAATACGTAAAAATGCTAAAAATCGTTTCAGTTTTCTTTTTTACTTTTTATTCTGGTAGTAGTCAGTAAAACTTTTTATTGAAAAAACTTTTATAAATAAATATTGCTTAATATTCCTTATTTCTTATTCCAAAAATTCATTACATTTCTTAGGATAAACAATCTAAGTTACTTTATTTCGTTTGTTGAAAAAGTTAATCTCCATCAAAAATAATTTCTTATTGAGATTTGGGTTTACTCTGATTGTAGTTTACAAAACATTTTTTATTTAACTTATTAATCTAAAACTATACTACACTAGGTCTATGAGACGAAATGTCGACAACATATATATGATAGTTCAAACTGCTATATAATTATGAAAACGTTATATTTATCTTGATAACGGTCAAGTTCATTAAAAGATTAAGCTAAACGAAAATATATACTAATTTACAAATAAATCAAGGAGATGCCCCCCACGAACTTTGTTTCGTATTTTTGTAGATGGTATTACCAATTTTCAATCTGTTCTCTATGAAACTTCAATTATATCTATTTACATTTAAATAATCTCGTTTTAAACACATAGAAACAGGTGTTTAAAATTATGAGTCACAGTAAATTAAATTCAATATAATCCTATAAAAAAGAGAACTTTAGACCAGTGAATCAATTCATTTATTAAAATACATTTTCTATGAGTGTTGCAACGATTATGTTGTTGGGGAAATTACTTTCCCTCTTCGTTATCTAAAAAGATGAATACTTCTGTTTATTTTGTTACTCAACAAAAAACAATTAGAAACTATTATCAGCAACTAAATATTATTGTTTCTTTTCCATTATGCCCCTGCAGGGCAGATTTTTTAATTGCAATTTCTATCTTGGTTCATCTTCTTCTTCTAATGGCAGGACAACTCTTTGTGAGTCTTGGCCTGCTTAACTATGTTCTTCCATTCTGCCCTGTCGGATACTTCCTTTGCCACTGCCTGATGGTCATGGTTTTAAAATCCCTCTTTACGTCGTTTATCCATCTTTTACGGGGCCTTTTTCTTGTTCTGTTTTCTTGGGGCTGTTATCTCTGGACTACTTTTATAGCTCGATTATCTGGCATTATTTCTAGGTGAACAAGCCAGTCTAGTCTTTGTGACATTACAAATCTAACAATATCTGCGCTCTGCATTAATTCGTCCAGCTCGTGGTTCATTTTAATTCTCCACGAACCATCGCCGCATTGGGTTGGCCCAAATATCTTTCTTAGTATTTTGGCTCAAATATTTTTAGTTGATTTTCTTGGTTCATACATATATTAATTCCATTCCTATTTCTGCATATATCGGTTGTCTTTTTTTATTTTAAATTAAATTTATTATAGTCAGGAAATAATAATAAATTAACATTTATATATAATTCAAAAAGTTATTGTCATAAAATATATATATATTCAGGGATTCTACACTATTCACTGCTTTTCCTCGCTCAAGTCCATCTCTCTCTGTTGTGTTATTCAACCCTTTCCATCTCTCTCTGTTGTCCCATTCTCCAACGTTTACGCCTCTCTTACTCATAGCGTCGCCTACTTTGTTCTTCCAGGATCTTCAGGGTCGTCCTCTTTTCCTTTTTTCTATGAAGCTTCATTCGGTTATTCTCTTAATTCATCTGCTTTCGCTAGTTCTTCTTACATGTCCTTACCACTTTAGTCTTTTTTTGTTATATATGTTAGTATGTCTGTTTCGATTTATGTTCTTTGTTTTATTTCGTTATTACTTCTATCCATTCTTGTTACTCTGCAGCATCTTCGCAGGTATTCCATCTCTGTTGCTACTATCTTACTGCTGTCACAAAATACTGCCCTTTATCCATTACTTTGTAATATGTATTTTAGATATCTAAATCGTTTCATCGTCCAACCTTTCTACCAATTTTACCAATAATTTCTGCAAAATAGCATATTTTTAGTCTTAGGAGTAAATGGAGTAAATTATAGGAACTGTAATGTCGTTTGTATATTTATAATTTAATATAATTTATTCATCCGAACACAAAGTGAGCTAAAAATAAATCAACTGCAAAATACCTTAGAGAGTTATCACCATTAGAAGCCACAGATTACACCCTTTGGAAGACTTCTAGAAAATTTTTACAACCATAACAACATATACTACCTATCAAAACAAGTAACGGACATTGGATAAGCACTGATGACGAAAGGGCAAATATATTTCTCCAACACCTGGAAACTACCTTTACTCCTTTCTCTTTGAGTTACAATCAGAAGAAAAGAAAAATATTCATAGATATTTGAACTGCCCGTACAAGATATATCCGCCTATTAAAAAAAAAACGAAATTATTTAGGCCATACTTAATACGAATAAAAGGAAAGCTCCTTGTTATGAGCTGAGTACTGGATTTATCTTGAGCCAATCTCTAGCGTGGTATTAACATTAGGATATTTTGCTTCACAATGGAAAGTTGCTTAAGTTATTTGATTCAATAAAATAGACAAACCTTTAATATTCTTCATGTAGACCCGTCAGTTTATTACCAATTCTCGCTAAAATTCTTGAGAAACTGCTAATAAACAAATAGATTTCTTTCCTAGAAGCGAACTTAGGTCTTTACTACCTATTTGGTTTTCGACAAAAACAAGCTGCGACCAAGTACACAGAGTCATAAACCAGGATTTGAAGGAAAAACGCTATTGTTGTAGTTTCTTGGACATCACACAAGCTTTTGAAAAAGTGTTACACAGGTTTGTTGTATAAAATTAAACAACTGAATACTATAGGATATTTAAATCATATATATCAGACAGATATTTCCTGACAAAATACGGTACGGTAGTAATAGTATTGAGACCTATAAATTTCGGCGTAAATTAAGGTAGTGTGCTTGGTCAACTCTTATATCTATTGTACACGGCCGACCTATCAACTTGTGATCAGTGTTCTTTGGCAACATTTTCTGATAACAATGTCA